GGCTACAGCTATCCCAAGCTTCACCTTTAGACCCTGGCAGTATGTTTCTTATCCAGTATCTCTCTTAGGAATGAAAAATTCTTTCCCAAAAGTCTCCAACATATCTCCCTCCATATCTCATTGCCATCACATGCCCATGTCTAAATCAGACACTGGAGAGAAGCATGGGACAACTAGGAATGGCCCAGTGCAAGCCCCTTGAGGCCCCCGCTCTCTTAGCTGCTCCGACTAGGAGGCAGTCACCGCACTTCTGTCAGAAAGGAGGAGGGCAGGGGCTGAAATTGGCTAGGTACCTTCCAGGGGCTGAGACAGTGTCCCTCCCTCATGTTTGGACTTGTTTCCAAATAGACTGTAAACTCTCTGGACCATGTTTCAAGTTTCCTATGGCTGAGCCTAGCACATTGCCTTCCATGAAACAGTTACTGCATAAAAATATGTTCAAATGCTAGTTTTATGGAATTCACTACAGCCAGATGAACAAAGCACCTATGGATCATCTGAAGGGCCATCATAGGAATCATTTTCACATACAGAATCTCTTGTTTCAGGATTTACAGTATTAAGAGTCTTCTTTTTAGAGAGATATTCTTCTGTGTGTTCAGGTAAATCATTAGTCACCATAACAAATGAAAAAAAAAAAAAAAAACCCACAAAACCCCTCCTATCTTTGACTTGCCAATTAGAATGACAGCCTTCTGTGGTTCCTTCTCTTTTATGCTGTGCTGAATCTTTCAGTAACATCCCAAGCTAAGCAAGGCTGATAGTCCAAACCAAAGCTTTTAACTTAAGTGGGAACATTCACACGACATCAGGATGATAACTTTGGTCCCCGATATTTTCCCCATTCTTCCTGAAATACTTTATTTTTGATATACTGACTTGAATTTGTGCCTTTATTTTGCTAAATGTCTAAAATTCCATCATTGGAAGCTCATCTCTTTACATTCACAGGCTTATTCCTTTTAATAGGCCCATGGCCATTAGCACATTTAGACAGGAATAGTCATCACCCACTATAGAGGGAATTCATTTGAACTGACGCATTCACTGATTCTTGATGTTGAAACCTACCTGTCTTGGAGGTCATCTCATAACAAGGTGGAACAGGCAATACTGGAATTTTAATTTGTTAGGAAAGATGAGATACAGCCCTAATATTTAAGCAATTACTTTCAAATCTGGCTGTACATCAGAAATGTTTGAATAATTGCTTTTAAATACTGATCCTGAGCCCCAGTGCCTGAATTTAAATCAAACAGAGGCTCATGAACCAGGACTTAAGGGAGCAAAGCATAGTCATGGTTGGGCAGGTGTAGCTGGAGAGCCATGGGGTGGGGAGTTACTTTATAAGATGGTGGTTTATGGCCATGGAGGTGCTGAGGCAGTTTAGGGTCAGTCCCAGAAATGAGAGATGACCTCAGACTTCCCTTTTAGTCATAAAAGAAAAACTTCCCTACTTTATAATTTTGCTTGGGGTTGTCTTGGGGCAATGGTGAGTTGCAAAGGGGTAAGAGGAAAAGGGAAAAAGCATCAAGGCAGTGAAGGCAAAGGGAATAGTCTGGAAAATAACACTAAATATGGTCTGATCAAGTGCAGTCAGAACACAGAAGGGTGTATAGGTGTATCTCCACGGCTTTGGGGCATGTGCATCATGCCCATGCCTATGTGCAGTATGTGTACTTGCGTTGATATGTGTGCATGAGGAGTGTAGCAGAGAAAAAGCCAGAATAGGCAGGACAGACTGCAGCCAGATGGCGAAGGACTTTTTAGGCCAGGCCAAGAAATCTGGACTTCACTCTGACAGGAGATGGAGAGCCACCAAATTTTTGAAGCAAGGGGTTGATTGGATACAAATAAGTGTTTAGAAAGATAATGCTGGTGACCATGAGAAGAATGGAGCAGAGGGATAAGAGATAAAAACAGGAAAACCAGTTTACAGTTGTCCAAACACAAAGAAAGAAAGGGCCTGAACTGGGTGGTGGCAGAAGTTGCATAAGGTGGGGAAGATGGACAGAACTTGGAGATAGGCTGTCAAGTTGAAACAAGGGAGAAGATTTCTGGTTTTCGTGTTTGCATGCGAATGCTGCTGCCCTGTAACCAACAGCAGACAAGACAGGAGAGAATTCTAGAGGGCAGGTGTTTTGACTTCAGTTGAGGACGCACTGAGCTCATGCTTATTTGACATCTGGGTGGAGATGGTAGCGGATGGAAATACTGATCCGGAACCAGAAGAGGAGTCTGGCTGGGGATTCTGACTTGAGTGGGGAACTGGCCCAGAGAGTACTGGGAGAATGAAGACAATGATCCCAGATGGAAGTCAAAACACCAAGGACTGGGCTAAACAGATGAGCTTGTGAAAGAGAGTGAGGGAGAGGATTTGAAAGTATTCGGTAAAGAGGGGGGACTCTGGGGCAGGGAGAGAAGATGAGGATTATCTGTGGTCTGGCAGCACAATGGAGAATATAAGTGTCACTGTGCACTTTAAAATTCCATTTTCCTTTCCGCTATGGACCTATCATTTAGATTATGAATGATCTAGGCCCCTTATGGCCTTTCTCTTCCATCCTTCATCTGCCAGTTACCGTTTCAATGACTATAAGCACTTAAACCAAGGAGTGATCAATGCAAGGTGATAAAGAGGAAACTGAACTTTGAGCACTGCTTTCTCTTAAACACCCATGAGAAGGTTTACAGAAAGTAAATTTGACTCTAAATGTTAAAATGAGATTTGAGGGTTTTAAGTTTCCACAGTGGTTGGCATGTATGCTGGACAGGATGTGAGATGTATAAACACACATACATACACATATGCTTTTTACATTCTCATTTTTGGTATTTATATTTGTAATATTTATATTACACAGTTGTACTTGTATATAATTTATAAACATATATGTATGTGTATAGTAATGATGAATACTCAAAAATTTTACATACGTAGGGTAATGCCAAAAAACTTCAGCTATCACTGACCTCGAGATTTAATTATTCTTTGTTAATTTGGGATATTCATGGTATCAGAAAGTGATGTTGCTTCTCTGGGAACCTGGATTGATATCATAAATGCCCAAGCTTGATTATGATCATCCTGAATTTAGAGAAAATTTGTTTCTTGAGTATGCAAATAACTGGAACAGAAGGAAGGAATAAATATTAAAAAATCATTTTTACAGATGTCATTTTAAATCACCTCTGCTTGCTTGCACTGATTTGTCCTTATTAACTACCTCCAGGTTAAAAACCTCTATACCTGACTTCATGCCTTGCAGCAACACATTCCACTAAAGTATTTCTCACTGCTCTTTAAAAAACAAGCCTCAACACTTCAAAGATAAGAAAATGATGTTGGGGCGCCTGGGTGGCTCAGTTGGTTAAGCGACTGCCTTCGGCTCAGGTCGTGATCCTGGAGTCCCGGGATCGAGTCCCGGGATCGAGTCCCACGATCGAGTCCCATGATCGAGTCCCACGATCGAGTCCCACGATCGAGTCCCACATCGGGCTCCCTGCTCGGCAGGGAGCCTGCTTCTCCCTCTGCCCTCTTCCCTCTCGTGCTCTCTGTCTCTCATTCTCTCTCTCTCTCAAATAAATAAATAAAAATCTTAAAAAAAAAAAAAAGAAAATGATGTTATGTTTCCATTGCTTCTGTTAATAATGGGTAATTAAAGAGAGATGTAAACCTTGGATTTAAATGTCTATTAGTTCTTGGGAAGGTCGTGGTGTTCCAGGGACTGATTTTCAGCGTGAATCCAACTTTATTTGAAACCCCTAGATTAGGGTTGATGGTCCCTCAAAACACACTCTTTGGGTACCAGCACAGAATATCCACGAAGCACCACACAAAGGGTTGGACAGAAAACCTAATGATGCCTAGTTTCTGCTGGGGTTGGGGATAGTGGTGCTATTTCTCTATTATCTCAGACTGGGAGAAAATGCTACAGGGTTATCTGGATTAGGTTTCTTCCATAATAAAGAATAACCTGGCTAAACGCCTCAAAGGGGAATAGGAAATATTTATATGCATTAGGAAATATTTATATTCTTTGTAAAAACACTTGAAAATCAGAGACCATTTTTTTGTTTTGATAGCTGTTCAAACTACAAAATACAAATGTGGCCCCCTTCCTCCCAGTAAACTAAAGTTCTTACAGTAAGCACACACTAGGCTCTGGAAAAGGTCTGGAGAAGGTACACTTGATGGATGAGGGTCGCACAACTTAGTGCAGAAGGCGATGGGTGAGCCTCACTCTCACCGCTTTAGTTAATTCTCTTGTTGGCAGCAGCTATGATCAAGAAAGTAAAAAGAACTTTTCCTGGCCTAAGTTTATATCAAGTTGAACAGAAACGTTACAACAATTAGAGGAAGGCAGAAGGGAAGGAAGAATTCCCTTGGAAGGAAGAATTCCCTTCTGCCGAGTATTTAAGAGGCACTAGGTTTTTCTACGTCCTCTAAGGCTAGAAACATCCGTGCTGCAGCCTGAAGAAATGGAAGCATAATTCACACCCTCGGGTTGAAAAACAAGCATTTCGGGCTCCCAGGCTCCTGCAAAGCCACCGGTATGGCGCTGAGGTGGTGCATGCTGCTTCCCAGAACCGGATTCCCGGGACCCGAAGAACCCTCTGGTGTGGGTCCCGGGCGGCACCTGCTGTCTACGCCGGGCTGCAGGACTCTCCATCTTCAGGACAGTCCCCTTAGTCTCCACTCCCTCTGTGCATGTGTGTGCGTGCACGTGTGTCTAAAACCAAAGCGCGCAGGAGCTGACTTTGAAGGGTGCTTCACAGACAGGGTGAGACACGCCTTATGGGGACACCAGGCGGGGGAGGGAGGGAATGTGGGGAGTCTCTCTCTCTCCGGCTCTGGATGGCTGGGAGCCTAGGGCCACGTGGAATCCGAGCAGAGAGGCGCGCTGCCTGCCCCCTCATCCCGCAAAACTCCTCCCTCCTGCCCCAGGGACCCGCGCAGGTCCCTCCGGCAGCTGCTGGAGAGCGAACTCCTCGCTTACCTTGACTGAGCACTAACACCAGCCGCAACGGCGCGCCCCCTGTCCGTCCTGGACGCATCCTGAGCCTGCGGGGGGACGGTAGCTGCTCTCGGTTTGCGGAGGGACTCCAGAAGCCGTCCCGAGAGCTTCTCTCGCCCGCCGGGGTGAGGGCAGGGAAAAGTTGCCTGGCAGCTCCTGGGACGCCAAGGCCCGCCCCGGCCCGCCCCTCGGCCACGGCAAACACCGGATCTGCCCCGGCCCCGCCCCACCGAGCCCAGTTCCTGCGCCCCGCGGGCACCTGCGCTCAACCACACCCCTGGAAACCACACCTGAACTCCCCCGCGCGGTTCCGGCCCGGGCCTGGGGGAACCCGGAGGCCGCGGGGCTGGGGTCCGCGAGCCTGGCCTTTTTCCTGCCCTGCACCGGACTGGCCGGGCACATCCGACGGGCGGGAGCCGGCCTGTCACTACCCCGCCCCTCTCGGCCGGCCTGCCGCCCGCCCGCCCGCAGGGAACCCGGGTCCCCCGGAGAACCTTGGCCCTTCTGCAGCCCTTCGTGGCTCCAGGCTCCAAGCAGAGGTGGAAGGGGCGGGGGGGGGGGGGGGTTGGGGGCGCCGCGAGCCCAAAGCCACGCTTTTACGGGTGGCGCCGTGCGTGGCTCTCTCTGCTTTTCTCAAGTGGGTGGAGAAACGGACAAAAATAAGTGCAGAATGACCAGGTTAGAAACAAACTCGACAGGAAAGAAGATCTGCTCACAAGTTATGATTATCCGAGGTATATTTAAGCAAGACCTGTTGCAAAAGCACCGTGTGTGTGTGTGTGTGTGTGTGATAAATCCTCATTCATTCCTCTCCTCCAAGATACTAAGCAGCTGATCTGATTACTAAGTTTAAGCGATTTACTTCAAGACACAGAGACGAGTGAGAACCCATATATGAACTTGTGACTCTTCCTTGTTGTATTACACCATGACCATTTTATTCCATTATTTGAGTTTCAGATCTGGAAAAAAGGACATTCTGTAACCATATCTGAGATTTTTACTTACCAACCTAAGAAATAGGATATTCTCTTTTCTTTTTTTAAAAAAATTTTTTATTTATTTATTTGACAGAGAGACACAGTGAGGGAGGGAACACAAGCAGGGGGAGTGGGAGAGGGAGAAGCAGGCTTCCTGCCGAGCGGGGAGCCCGATGCGAGGCTCAATCCCAGGCCCCTGGGATCATGACCTGAGCCGAAGGCAGACGCTTAACGACTGAGCCACCCCGGTGCCCCAGGATATTCTCTTTTCTTTAAATCTGATTTTTCCTCCAAAAGTTCACCCACAAATTCCCAGCACGTTGCTGAAACCAGAATTCTTCCAGTGACCACTTTTATGAAATAATCCAATGTTTTAATAAATTAAACTTAAGGAACTATTAGACTAATCATTATTATTATCACCATTCCAAATATTTATGGAGCAGCTAGTATGAGCACTATGGAATATTTGGGATACTGCCACTCAAGGAAAATGGTTCATGGTGGAAGGACTTAATTAATTGGTAAAAATCAAATGCTCTCCTTTACCATAGCTGAGGCTGGAGTCTTAAAGCACTAAATTGATATTCACCAGATGTTACTGCTTTGCACCATGACTATAAACTCAATACCTTTGAATTCAAAATGGATAGCCCCTGGTTCTTTCCTGTTTTCTTAATCTGTCCCTTACTAATTCTACTTACTAATCCTGACACACACTTGAAGGAATTTTTTTTTTTTTGACCTGTCTATGGTACTCACCTGCTTACTAAGACTCCAGATATCACCTGAGAGCTCTTAGGTGGCCATTCACTAACCCTGACACCAACTTAGCCTCTCCTCACAGCCTTCTTGCAGGAAGTCAGCCAGGTTTCAGGGAGATGAATATCTGTCTGTTTCCTTCTGACTCACTGAAATGTGAGTAAGTGTTTGGAACCGACCCTTGTTTGGGAGGCAGTATAGCTCCCTTCATGTGAGACAGGAATCTGTGTTTTGTCTCTGGGTGCTGGAGAGGAAAATGCACCCTTCTTTGCTTTTGTGCTCAGAACTGGACAAATTAACATTATGCTGGCATGAGGTACAGAATAAATCAGGAGCTATATTTTTCCAGAGCAGGCAAAAATTTCAAAGTTCAAGAAACAAAGAATCGACTCCTGCCCCACATTAATTTTAAAAGTAGAAAGGGTTCTTGAGACCAAACAGTTTGAGAACTCATGCCTTAATCTTCCTGGGAACTATTCTGCTTAGGTATAACTGTGCTGGACACCACATCCTGAGGAAATAAGATTAAGGCAGGGCTTTTTAAATCTTTGGTCTCAAGGAGGCCTTTACACTTAAAATTATTGAGAATCTCTCAGATGAATGGATAAAAAGATGGTGAAATATTGTATATATTTTCTAACACTTCCAAAGTCCTTTATTTGGCCAACAAGGCTGGGAGCTGCTCTTGGAGTGGGGTCCCAGTCCCAGGCTGGATTTTCCAGGTCTATGGTGCCTCTGCCTCTGTTCCTAACTGGGGCAGGTGGCCTCCTCTGACAGGCTACTTGGTTTGCTCCATCAGGTATCCCCGGACCTCCTTGGAGTACCCCTGGACCTTGGATGGGGCCACCGAGAGAGCCAACATCAGCATAATGATGCCTGAATTCCAGGACTTGCAGATGTGAGAGTTAAACTTTGGAGGGACTGGGAGCTGGGGTATCTTCAGACTGGTCTGCTCATACATGTACTGGCTGAACTGGTCCATGGCTGAGAGGTGGGGGGGGCTACCTCCTCAGACTTCTGAAGGGCAGTCTGGCTCTTGCTACTAGGCCCCAGAAGCTCCTGGTCATACACCAGGTAGATGGTGCCCCCAGCCATACTGCCCTTGATGAGGAACCTCCTCAGCAACCATGCTTGGGGCACTGTGGTCACTCAGCTCTGTGTGCAAGGAACAAGATGATGGAATATTATTCAGTCATAAAAAAGAAGGAAATCTTACCATTTGCAATGACATGGATGAACCTGGAGGACATTATGTTAAGTGAAATAAGCCAGAGAAAGACAAATACTGTATGATCTCACTTACATGTGGAATCTAAAAAAGCCAACTCATTGTACAGAGACTAGAATGGTGGTTACCAGAGGCTAGAGGTGAGGAAATGTTGGGAGATGTTGGTCAAAGGGTACAAACTTTTAGTTATAAGATGAATAAATCCTGGGTGTTTAGTGTACAGCATGGTGACTACGGTTAATAATATTGTATATTTGACATTTGCTAAGAGAGGTCTTAAGTGCTCTCACAACAAAAACAAAAAATGGTAACTGTATGAAGTGATGGATATGTTAATTATCTTGATTGTGATAATCAGATCACAATGTATATATATATATATCAAAACCTAATGATGTACACCTTATATATATATACAAATTGTAATTGTCCATTATACCTTATTAAAGCTGGAAAAAATATGGAGGATCCCAAAGAACTTTTGTTTATGTGGATTATTTCTACCCGTGTTTATCATGTAAGAAATTGAAACAGATACATTTTCTTTTTTTTTTTTAAAGATTTTATTTATTTATTTGACAGAGAGAGAGATAGCAAGAGCAGGAACACAAGCAGGGGGAGTGGGAGAGGGAGAAGCAGTCTTCCCGCTGAGCAGGGAGCCCGATGTGGGACTCGATCCCAGGACCCTGGGATCATGACCTGAGCCGAAGGCAGACGCTTAACGACTGAGCCACCCAGGCGCCCGAAACAGATACATTTTCTAATATTTATATATTAATTCAACAATAAGGCTCTTATGTGTTAATGTAAATACAAAAAGTGTACAAAAAATAGCTATATTTCCCCAAATAAAGAAAATCCTGAGAAGAATGGCATTGTCTTACAATTTTGCCAATCTTTTTAATGTCTGGCTTAAAAAATAAACACTTGATTTCTCATATCTGCTCCTGCATCCAATCTCTTGGGATAGGTAGTTTCAGTGAAATTATATTAATTTGGAATTAATCTGGTAGTTAGAAAAAACAGGACACAATTGTGGATATTCCTGATACTGCCCCCAAACTCAAAAAGTGGTAGTTTCTTAAAGACTAGTTCCAATGGGGAATCTGAAACCACATCAATAAACTTTTCTTATCCTAGTGTTGATTTGCAACCTCGGGAGTTCCTGGGGTTGAAATCTGAAACTGGCCTTCACACATGGAGGGCAAGGAGAGAGAGGAGAAAGAGGCAGACCTCTTCCTATTGGGGGGTTGCAGTTTTAATAAGCAAGGGAATTTATATTCTAGGTTTGTCTGGAGTGGCCACAAGATGAGTGAATTTCCACACTGCTGCCAGAATCTCAAGTTTATGTAGAGCCCTTAACAGGCAGGGTTCAGTCATATATACAGTTCAGATAGTCTCAGTAACATATTACTTTCTCAAAGCTGTGTCCCTGAAGTGGCTACTAATGTGGGAACAGTAGGCAGAACCTACATTTCAAGGACAGGGGAGGAGATAAGGAGCTTCCAATTACCCAGGTCCAAATTGAAGGCCAACCAGCTGTCACATCCTCCTGATAACCTCCTCCAACATGTTGTGCATTAAAATTCATTGGTCTATTGAGCACTTTGAGTAGATCTTTCACCCACACAAAGTTTTGTCGCATCATATATTGATCATTTGGAAAATATTGGTTCACTGAGTTATGCAGATTTTCTAATTGTTGATACATTTCAGTACACAATATCAAAAAAATCATATCATCACCTATCTCATCAGAAAAGTCTTCATATATTGGGAACCTGTCAAGCTCATGCTGGCATATACACATTTTCCAAAATTTCAATTTTAACTTGAAAACTTGAATTTTATCATTGGCAGCACATACTATCAGTTGTTCTATGTGAAATGAAAGGCCCACTTCATTCATTTTTGAGAAATTTCTATACAATACCCAAGACTGAATAATCATAGTTTGTCTCTCAACTGTTCTTTCAAGTAAAACTGGTGTTCCATGAAAAACGTGGCTAGTTCAGGTTACGGATCCTTGAGACAACCATCCTATTTCAGTGTGCAACACAAATGCTTTATGTGTTTTACCAGGTTTACTCATGAAAAATATTTAAAAGACATGTACTGAAGAGTTGAGATTTAATAAAGGTAGTTAATTTTTCCTGCTTTGTCAAGGACATTCTCTCTCTCTCTCTTTTTAAGAGATTTGACAGAGA